ATAGTTATAATATTATGTATAACAAACAGTTTTACATAATTAACGTTTATTTTAATTATAAGATAATATTAAGTTAGTATATTATAATACTATAGGTGGTATAAAATAATTGYATTAAGTCAMATTATTTAAATTTTAAATTAACATATTTCAAATAAAATGTTAAGAATTTTAAAATGAGTGGAAATTTTAATAAATTAATTGATAAATATTACAAAATCTGAATAGAGCTTTTTTTATAATACAATTTTGCGCTTTATAATTATAACTAAATAATATCATAATCGACCTTAAAATCTAAAACATTATTAATTTAAAAATATTTACGTGAAAACATAACAGAAAGTGTAAACACGTGTCATTTTAATTATATAAATGTTATCCATTAGAAATATTTTTAGAAACAAAAAATAATTATTATTATCATATTAAATAATATATTACAGTTAATAACTATTTCATAAATATTTTTAATTTCAATAGCAATAAATTTTTTACAATAGTCAAATATATATACTTAAAAATGTAAAACACTGACAGAAATAGTGATTTTTGAACTCTTAAAACAAGAATTGAAGAGTGTGTTGAGTACCAACTATTTTGAMKTGTTATTATAATTTAAGATTTTAACAATAAAAAGTATTTTTTCAGTGCATCATAATAATTTTGATTTWACTGATTTGTTCTAAGTACGGATTAGYTAGCTCAAAATCAGTCATTATGTTATGTACTCCACACAACCTTTTTGATTAAAAGAAACAACAATACAAAATAAATAAAACACAGCCTAATGATTATGTACAAATCTCTGAATAAAAAAAACACAATATTTAGATTAATATTTTCTCACACAGTATATTTAGGTAACAAAGTATAAAAAATTGATAAAGCAACCAGAAAACTTTAAAAAAAAAATACACAACAATAATATGAATTTAAAAAAAAAACACTTAGGTAATACAATTAATTATTATTTAAGACAAGTGTAAAATTTTAAAAATTAATAAGTATTTATAATTTCAAAATGTTTAATAAGGTAACACAAAAAAATGTATTCAAGCAAATTTCAAACGAACATTTGCACACAACAAATTTTGTAACCTAATAAAAATTTAAATAATTTTTTTTTACAAACTTAATGATTGAATAAGTATTCAATAGATAAAATGAAACTGTTGCATGGCACAAGATTATTGTGTGAGTTCTTGTAACAATAAAGATACGTTTGCCACAGTTATGTTTTTCAAAAGTCATATGCACAACTCACACATCAACTCAAATAGTAGTGCAATGTGATTAAATTTATAAGACCGCGGTGGCCTGTGGTTTTGAATATCACTCTGCACGTAGTGTATTCGTGTAAAGTCTTGTGGGATCCCATGCCGAACATTATTTTTTCATTTAATTTTTGAAGCATTCTTCTAAACCATCTACTCCAACTTTGCGCACTCCGACCAAGCGCCAAATGGATAAGGACCCATGTCATGTTTGATTCTTAAACTTTATACATTTTGGTCAGATTATATTTACATAGAAGTTTTTTTTTTTTTATTGATATATTGTATTATTTTACTAAATTGCACATATCCTATAGAGACCAAAACCTAACACTTGGTGGCACAAACTTAATCAATCATTTTACTAAGAATCACTTATATTACTATAATACCCTTTTGAAATGCAGTTCACACATAACCCTGAAACTTTGTCAACTTATACCATGTCTTGAGGTCTCGAATATATACTTGTAGAGTTTATTGGTTTTATCTACAAGATTTATTTCTAACGCCTAGTTCGCAAGAAACACAGTCAAATATTAAAATTAAATTTTTACGTTCCGTCATTGGATGGTGTTGAAAGTTCGCGTTCAGTAACTCCAATCCTTAATAATTCTTTTAACATAGGAAGTGGTCTTTTAGGCCATGTCTTTTTCGCCTTTAAGTCACGCGCCTCATTGTGTATTTTTTCCAGTTCTTTAATCATTGGATAAATTCTTTGCTCTATCCATTCGGATATGGTATATTTATCAAATATTCCAGTCATAGATTCCTGAAATGGTCTAACCATAGACAAAAGCGTTCGGTATATACGAGAATGATCATTCATGAGTTCGTCGACACGAAGTGGAGATGAAAATTCATGTTCTACGTTGTAGCTTGTCATCCATCCACGGTTCTTTTTGGTCACCAAAATAAAATCATTGTAGTCTATTTCAATTGTGTGCAATCTGTACAGCAACCTAAAAATTAAAACACAATTTTACGTTAATTATATACGAGATAAACTACACTATTCAATAAACCAAACAACYGATATTAATTATTACCTGAAAAATGYATTCCCGGGAAATGTGCACCTCGAAAACTGATCCCAGAGATGAGGATCATTATTTAAGTTTAAAAAATCTCCGTCGTATTCGTTATTGTGGCCAAAAATACCACAGTTGAGTCCTTCGTTTAAATCGGTTTGCAGCGACTGGTTCATGTAGCCATTTGTAGTTGCCAAAAGATTAACAACCATCGATGGTATGGATGACGGTAAGACCTCACATAAGACAGCAAAATGATCATACCTGTTAAGTTAATCGAATACGATAAAATTATGATAATATAATGCACCTAATAGATATGTTTTACAAAAAAAAAAATCTGCGATTAATTAATACACATTCAAATAATAAATAATATACCTTTGCCAACCAGTTATGATGATTCCTTTGAAACCACCCGTAAACCGACTATTTTCGTTGGACATCAGTTGTAACCAATTTAAATTGTTTTCCAAATGTCTCTTAACGTTAGGAATGTATAGAGTTTCTCCAAATGCCCCTTTGAAGGCGCTAGCTGTCCATGCATTCGGGAAAACAATTTGATACTTTTCCCAAACACTTTGCATCACAAATCTATACACGTCCTCGGCGTATACCCATACCTGTGTTACATACAATTAAAATGTATTAGATTAAGTTCAAATACGATATACCAAAATTGATTACCATCGGCTCCACTAATTTCCCAATATCGTATAGTTGCATTGTGGCTACGGGCAAATGTCTCAGCATATCATCCCATATAATAGGAATCGTGTTTGGGGATTTCGTGCGTACATAAGTAGCAACTTGCTTGACGTGCGACAAGAACAAATCTTCTCTGGCTTTCGACCGGCACCTGAAACATTCTCCCATGTTGAACACTTCGTCACATCCGATATGCAAATAGTTCACATTCCCGTGAAGTTCGAGTATCTATAAAAACGAATAAATAAGAGTTGAGTTTTATTTACTACACAACAAGCCGGGTTGATATAAATGTCTAAGGAATATATTTACTTGGTCGACCATTTGTTCGATAAACTTCATCGAAGCGTTGTACGATGGGCATAGTGCTTGTGGTGACTCTTGGACTTCTCTCAGATGCGCAAAATCCGGTAATTTCAATGCAAACTCCACGTGACCGAACGTTTGTATTAGCGGGATTACTTCCAGTCCGTTCACGGCGGCCATTTTCAATATTTCTATAATTTCTGCTTTTGAATACGCGTTTCCGGCAGCCATTGGAGATAGGTTTCCACTCCAAGGAAACATGTCTTCCCATTCGAGCAAAAGACCAGTACCGCCGAATCTTTTTATTAATGGGAAAAGTTTTTGAAGGTAACTCAGCTTGGGCGGCGCTCCTTTGAAATCGATGTGCACTAGTCGTTGCGGAGGCACGTACGGTAATGATTGTTGCGGTTCACTGATCTGAGTTCGTCGGCTTTTACGGGCTGGCTCCTGTAGTTCTTCAATGAAATTAACATCTTCCTCTTTTTTCATTTTTATAACTGTACCCGAAATTGGCGCAGGTGGTTGGTGTTTATTCAAAGGTTGTTCATCAGTATCAAACTCGGACATTACTAAAGTGTTTTGGATGTTTTGGATGCCTATATCATTAGACGCGTTGTATTGTACACATACTACAAAAAGGAGAACGCTGAGTATGAGTCCAAATAATATGGATCTTCGTCGACGTAATGAATTAGTAAACCACCCGGCGTATGAAGTTATTGTATTCTTCCATAAAGTTCTGAAACATTAATTAAATAATAAAAAAAGTGATTAGAATATGATTTAAAAAGCTAATAGATTAATATTTATCATTCTACGTAATAAGATTTAACAAACAAAGACATAGTTAAGAAACAAAAAGCAAAATGGTAAATTTCAATTATTTRTCTAATATAGTATACCGGCGGATACAGTAAGAGTTTTATATAATGAGATTGATTTATGGAAAATTCTTTAATGATCAAATTCGATATTTCCATAGAGCAGAGGAACGATATATTTAATTTGTCGGGAAACTATACGGTACGTACAGTATTATATGTCTTACAGTTGGGTTAGGATATGTATACTATAATACTATATTATATTTATATTGATACGGACACTTTGTTACGGAGAAAAAACAAATAAAACACGCGTGATTTTKYACAACACAAATTTTAGAGGAGTAAAKACAATTTTTTTATGTCACTGAAGAATAAATTGGCTGAATCACTTCTTTCGTACTGATATTACGTGCACAGTGGAAGGAKAGAGTAATATTAGTCGCATTATGGGGGTRTATCCTTACCCAAACAACAATGTTGATCMAACTGTTTCACGATATAGYAACCATATGTATATAAATAATTGTACACATCGATAGCGATACGGACAAATTTCTAATTTTCGTGGTAGATGATATACTACCTACTACTAAAAAGGCACAGAGAAAACAAATTTTATCATTATATTGTGTAAACCGTTATTGTTAATATAYAATAAAATGTGAAAATCGCATAAACCAACAAAAGTTGATAAAATTCAACAAAAGCCAACGTGAAGAGCACGTATTTCCCCACACGCATCACCTACACGATAAATTTTTTTTTGAAAGGTTTTTTATAACTACGTCATCCGCGCAGTTCAGTTGCGGTGGTCAAGGTTTAGACAAAAACCAAAAAATCTATTCGTCTGCAACTACCTATTTACTATTTAGTATTATTAACACGCAGAGAACAGTACATTTTTTTTAAATCGTGCACGCGGCTATTCCGAAATCGTAGTATTTATACTGCAGCCGCCCTAGAGTTATATTTTGTTGGGATGATCTGCATACAATATTATGTGTAATAAGCATAATAATAATAATAATAATAATACCTAATAATAATAATAATAATATCATTAACGTCCGTTTACCAAATCAATCACTTCAGTGTGATAGTGTTAATAGAAGTTCGCCAATCGTCAGATAACTGAATCCATTAGCAACATGAATACTGTATAAGTGTTATATATTATGTAGGAAATGCAACTGCTGCTGTAACGTCTTCGGTGAAATATTCCTACCATTTCAATATCCATTAACCTACTCTGGGTGCACCGTTTTGCCGTTTTGCACTAAGAGAATAATAATAATTATTGATATACTACCTATGCGGGCGGCCGCGATTTCTAGTCAAAAGCTTTTACCACCAACCATAATATTATTGTAATATTATCAAACTAAATTAGGTATTACACTCACGGACGGCTAAAAGACAATTATAATGATTTTGATTTTGATGGAGCCCCCCCCCCTTTTTGACGTGGATCTTAACTGATTAATTGTGTAATTCTGTAACGTGATTTGAATTTAGCATTCCTTTGACAATTTATAAACTTATAATGGCATCGTCTTTCACGATTTATTGGACGTCAAATAATTTATCATCATAATACGACCATAGTTATTGTGAAAACCATCATAATGGTATAACATAATATTATTATAGTGACCAAATAGTGACAAACGTGAAATACTTTTAAAGATCTAAGAAAAATATTTCAGTTTTTGAGATTTTTTGTCATTTTCCCGATTTAAAGGCATCAAAATCTCTGCCTTCGTCGTCGACCAGCCAGAATGAAAAATTCACATGACATTACACGTCCAACGAGCTTTTGAAAATCTTTCGAGATCAATGCGGRCGAGTGTCATATACTCGTGTAGTCTCATATTGTGCTGTATTGCAGATCAAATAAAACGAAGAATAGTGTACAATAATAGTATAATAATATAAACAGTAGTAGTGTGCCATCATCCAGCCAAAAGTAAAGCCAACGGGTGGTCTACATTGTGTGTATAATAATATGGACCATTCGGCGGAGTAGGTAGGCACAATATAATAATATTGTCGTAATGGTTTTTTTTTTGTATTTTATTATTATTATTGTTCTGGTCACAGACACGAAAGTACAACGATTAGTGAATAACAAAAAAAAAAACAGTTAATACAATAAAGTCCTAAATAAATATAATATTATTTTTATTATACGACGATAAACACTATATACTGCGCCGTGCTGTATTAGTGGACGTATTGTTGTTATAATGTGTATTATCATTATTATTTACCGTGTGTTTAATTGACCGTGTAATTCAGTGACGCGATAAAGGGATAACAACGGAATCGGAATAAATAAACAAATCTATTCCCCGGTCGGCAAACGCTATTACGGGTAGTTAAGTGTGTACCTAACCTACCTATAATAATTTATAACCATATATAAAACAAAAGTCCTATGGGTATTGTAATGAGAAAAGACCGACACGCCGTCCTGCGATCGAAAGGGAAGTGTTGTCTCTCCAAAATGTTAACCCACATTTGCGCGTATCCGGCGTTTCCGCACACGATCGTGACACACACACACACACACACACACTCTGTCGAGTTGACACTTTTCGAAAACTACTATATTGATGCGTACTCCGCGTCGTCGTTTGTATCCAATAACGATTACGAAGCACTTATGTACACGCTCGGCGGTCGGTTCAGAGATGTTCAGAAAAATAGATTTCAACTCATTCCGCCGCGGTGTGTAGGCAACCGATGTGTGATAGCTGCAGCATACGAGTTTGGCGTTTAACACGATCGCAGCATTCCGCGATGAAGCGACGAAGCGTGTAAAAAATATTACGACCCTTATAAAATTGGCGTGTTACCGGCCCCTTTACCACGCCGTTTAGTGGGCTGCGATTTATTTTAAAATGAAAAATATCAACTCGAGATTAAATACCGATATATAATCATTGATCATATAATAATATATACGTCATCAAAACGGTCGGCCTCAATCTCGAAATTTCCAATTCGGGGGATATGAAGCAGAGCGCGGGTGGTTGGAATTTAGCCATCGTTATTATTTAGGCGTATAATGCTGTTTATGATGATGGGAATCGCGTTTGATCAGAAGGCAAAGATCAGCTCTGTGTAGACGGAAAGATGGTAACGCTACACGCAACTTTCGTACAAGTCGTTTTCGATGTGTATA